CCCCAAAACCCCAAAACCCCAAAACCCCAAAACCCCTGCAGGGAATTTAGGTGTTGAGAGAAATTGGAATAATTTATTTTTGGCAAAATGGAAGCGATTATTGAGAAGAATGTGGGAAGTTGGGGAGATAAGACGAGGAATAAGGAGGATAAGTTGAAAGAGTATCTTAGTGATGAGTTTTTGTCAGCAGATTCTACTTTCTTGCAGGGACGCTTTAGTTTTAGTATCAGAGGGTTTAAAGAAGGCACAAAGATGTCAGTGAAAAAGAAAAAGACGAAGATGGCAATGACCATAGCGATGAAGAAAAAGAAAAACTTCTTGAAGCTGGACGAAGTATGTACAATTCTTAATTTTATTTTCTATTACAAATTTTACAGCTCTTGAAAATGTCAGAGAGACATGTAGGAGCTACATATTTCTATACTTTCATTTGTTCTCTTGCCTCCTCACTCAAAAGAACTCTTCCTAAATATGGGTTATAGGCTACTCATAAATCTCCAATTTTCCGGATACAATCACACGAAGGTAAAAATTCTGAATTTTATGAAAATGTTCGAAGTTCTTGAATTGAATAATTTCTTTGATATTCCTTAAAGTATGATATCACCGATAACACGAGACAATGGAGAATTTACTTTTTAAGAATTTTAAAAAGAATCATAATTTTATGGGAAGACAACCTATTATCCCCAGTTTGCATTGGAGGATGAATAACTGCATTTTTAGACTTTATTTAATTTCTAAGGTTCCATTACTTTATAGGCTCTCTGAATTCTTCCAAATTTCCCAGCAAACAAAACTTGTTGAACAAGAAACTGTTCTCAGAGCAAAGGTTAGGCTACAAGAAGGATTGCTGAATAGAAAGGTAAAATAACTCTTTTCATTCCTAGACAATCTACCTACCTCAGTACAAGAGAGGACACTGAGACTAAGGAGAGCTGTAGAGAGGAATATTTGGTGAATTCTGGGAGAGCTACTAATAATTCTCTCAGAAAAAGTAGAAAGTTCACCAAATCGACCAAAAAGAATAAGAAAGTCAGTCATGAATACTCAGCAAAAGGGTCTAAAAGTAAGAACCTTGCTTATTTTTAGGACTTATATTAACGATGAAGCAGAAAAAGCCTAGTAATAAGAATTTTTTTGCAAGAAAACTGAGTGTTGAAGCCAATCCAAAGATTTTAAACTTTTCAAAAATTAGACAAGATACCTTGGACCCAGATCCTTCTCCTATAGATTATTGTGCCAATATCGAAGAGGCAGTCTCAAACGGTAGCATTGACTTCGATACAGTGTGTAAGTTTATTTTCTTGTGTATCCTCTAACTTTCTGGGTATAGCTCATCATCCCAGAGGAAGCATTCAGGAAAAGGCATCTCATAGTAAATTTTCTGATACTTTGGAAGTTGCTGTACCTCTAAAATTCAAATCAGACAGCTTCAAAATTGAGCCAAAAGATACAGATCAAGAGAGCGGGCAGATTGCTAAAGAAAAATCTCTCTCTAAGACAGAATTTACAAAGAATTCAAGCAATACAGCTGATGATGAATATAGCTTATTTGACTGGTGACCAGAGTTTGACGAAGTCATTGAAAATACCTCTACGAGACAGCAACACGAAACTGTTGATGAACTCATTGATATTTCCTGCTGTAAAGATCCTAATGACAATATATTAAAGAGAAGGCACCAAAATGCCTCTAAATTCGAGCTTAAATATTACATACTTAAAGAATTTATGGACCTTAAAGCAGAGAAAATTCGAAAATACTATACATTAAATGATGCTCATAAAGATCTTGACTCTAAAAAGACCACAAAAAGAAGGAAGAGTTCAAAGAAGTTAAACTTGAACTATAAATTTCTTGAAGGAGTTGACGAGAACGATGCTCCTCCAAGAAATTTAAAATGTACCATCAGCAAGCCTAGAGCATCTTTCAGGATAAAGAATTTACCCCATGATCCACTTGATGATGGACTAAAAAGTACTCTTGAAATTAGCAAGATAAAATACAGAGAACTTGTGGGCTTCATTGATGTTATGGGAATGTTCTGTATCAATCATTCTCCTTCGTACCTATATTCTGACGAGAGACCATCAATAGATTTTCCTGGGGATATAAATGTATACAAAATTGAGAAGCTAGAACAGATCAAGGCAGAAATGAAGTTTGCTTATGACACCATTACAGATATCCTTCTGGCAGAGATTAATAAAGAAAAGTATAGATATAGACACCAGCAAAATATGGTGATAAAATTATTACATTGGAACAAGAACTTCCAGGAAGATTTTGAACTTTACTTTAGAGAGTACTACCAGGTATGAATTCTTTCTTAACCTTTAGAATTGCTTTGACCTTGATATTGGACCAAAGAATCTGACTTTGAAAGAGCTTTTAAAGTCAATTTTGCATAATTAGTTAATCTAAATTCAATCTTCACTATCTTTTGGGGTTTTGGGGTTTTGGGGTTTTGGGGTTTTGGGG